GGGGGCAAATGCCCCACCCTGTCCTACCCAACTGACGTCTCTGGTTGGCAGCAACGCCATAGCTTTCAAGCAATGTCACAACCAATGGGCTTGTCCAATTAAAAACAAAAAAAGTAGGCTCCCCATGTCACAAAGGCTAAGATCCCTTTTACAAATGTAAACAGTCAAAGACACATGACGTCACCCGCATGGAAGAAGACGGCCGCCGGTGATTCTCAAATTGTTAACAAATGGTAGCGGCGTTGTGTTTTAAACTTTTATTTCCAACGTATTCAAAGTGCAACCAGGGACGTCATTTGGGTAGTGCAGGTTTGCTCTCCCCCCCCCCTGAAGTTGCAGGTTTTATTCAAATTTCTATGTACTGTGGCGTCTCCAATAATAAACAACTTAACAAGCTTTGGTTTTGCCCCAACCCTCCCCCCCCCAACCTTAAAAAAAAATTAAATGACGCCCGGAGTGTAATGATTGAAATATTTTTTTTCAAAGAACATGCTGATGTATGTGGCACTAACTTCGGGTGATATTTTTTCATGACATATAAAAAAAAATCGCTCTGAAAATAAATATTTTAAAATCTATTTATTTAAATACATGAGATAAGGGAGACAAAATGCAGGGCGCTTATTAAATTAATCAATAAATCCCGTTTATTAAAATAAAACTAAATTTAAATCGCTTTGATCAGTTAAATTGTTATGTAGTATTATATTGATGCTAATCTGCAACAGAACAAAAAGGGAATGCACGCAAAAAGTGCTTTTAAAATCCTTTACAGTAACATCCCTTGTGTATTGGTGGCAAAATATTCGGATGGCTAACTGACCCATTTTCCTTCAACCTATTGAGCTGAAACCTGGCACACACTCTCGTTGTCAATGACAACACACTCTTTTAAATTTCAGTCCCACCCCCGAGCCCTAAAAATCATGCCCCTCCCCCCTGTTTTTTCAAGGGGAAAAATGAAGGAAATATTATGACGATGATTTCACGAATAAAATTCCCAATAACTGCGTTAAATGAGATTCTTAATATATATATATATATATATATATATATATATATATATATATACACTATATAACGTGTGTGTTTGGTGTGTTATTTTTTGTTTTTTTTTTAGATAAAATAAATTTTTTAAATGCATATAAAGGATTTAAACGAAAAACTTTTTTTTTTTTTTTAAATTTTTTTTTTAAGGGTTGTTTAATTATGTCTTCGATCCCGTTTTTGTTCAAACTTCAAATTGTACTAACAGCAGCCCACTTGGACATTTTTTGAAACGATGTCTTTGAACGTCTTGTAACGTGCAGTTAACTTTTTTTTTTTTGAGAACCGCCTGTTGTAGACGTGTGGCACATGGAACAAACTCAGCCCGGGACCGCTTCATCGTTCGTTCAACTCTTCGACGCCATTGTCCCCCATCACGCGCAGAGCGTAAAACGATTGTAAACGTTTGATGCCACGTTGTAATGCATTTCGTCGGACTAGAATTTCTGTTAGCAGCACGATCAAATGGTTCGGGTCTTAGGCATCAGTTGTTTGTTGTTTTTTTTAACGTAAGTCCGTGGCACAGTTACGAAAAGGAGTTCACAGATCACGTGATGAAGGGATTTTACGTCTCTAAGATGGCGGTTCACCGGTTGGAAACATTTTAATATTGAATTTTACGTATTTGGATAATTAGATGTGTTGTTTTTTTTTTGTATTTATTCGTTGGGAGGACATCTTTTAATTCAAATATTTACTGCGCGTTGAGGTTTTTTTTTTTTTAAAATGCCTAGTTAATTCTCACGAACAAAATGACACTGAACAAAATGACACCTAACAAAATGACACCGAACAAAATGACACTGAACAAAATGAAACCGAACAAAATGACAATGAATAAAATGACAGCAAACAAAACGACACTGACCAGATTGGAAATGAACAAAATGCCACCTAACAAAATGCCACCTAACAGAATGACACTGCACAAAATGACATCAGTGGTTCAAGGATTGGCTCTAAGCGTTAAATATTTCCTAATACTTTTGTCTGCAGTTATTTGGCAATACGATTACGCTCTATATATGATGTGTATTTCCGCCCGCAAACGGGTCTCACAGATACATTACAATAGGGTTTGTCATTTCTAAGACCGGAAAATGTCACATTGCAATACGTAATGTTACTGTTTTTAGAAAATGTTTTCGTAAAACATAGCTTTTAACAATATATTTCAGCAAATATATATAGCATTAACAATTTGTTTGTAAAACCTTTCGTAAAATAAAGTTATAAACAAATTTCCGTCTGGGTTGAGACCCACCATGGTGGCTCATATTGGCGTGGGTCAGGGGTCACCAAACTTTTTTTACAGCGGACCGGATAACGGACAAAATGACGAGCACGGACCGCATAATCATTCTGTACAAGACCTAATACTTGCAAGCCAGAACGAAAGCTCTGGGGGAAAAAGACGAAAAAACTAACTTTAGTATTCCATTTTAATCACGGGTGAGTGGCGCCCAATGCACTGAAAGCAAAGGCAATTAACATATTTATTTACTTTAAAAAGTTATCAAAGAAGGCGACGTTAGCCAAAAGATAGTTACATCAGACCCAGTGAGCACAAAATGGACCCGGACACGCAGCATTGCCATTCGGACCCTGGCCCCATTAGACTCAATGCTATTCACTTGTCATTTCTGGTAGTTTATTTTAGTTAAACTGAAGAAGTAAGTTTACAAACATATAGTCCATTCAATTATTGTTTCATTTGATGCGTCATTTTGTCTTACAATTCCAACAATAATATTTTAAAGATTTTTTTTTTTGTTTGTTTTAAAATCCCAACCTCTCACTTCTGGTACCCGGGTGTGAATAGCCACTTCGTTTATGAAATGTAATTGTTTCTGTGTTATCATTTCTATTTCTTTCATTACAAGAGTATGAATTTATTTTTATTTTTTGTTTTTGCAACTGTTTGGATGTAACAATTTTCTAGCTTAACATAGTTTAGTTGGATAGATACAGATTATTACGAAGCTTAGTCTAAAAATGGTTAGGGGGGGGGGGTGGGGGGAAAAAAGTAAAGGGGGCCTTTTCATCAACTTTAATCACGTGGATATTTGATTTACCAATAACGATATATTCATTTATAGGTAAATTTCTTTAAGGCAGCGAAATGAGAACCGGCTTGCCATTAATAGCTCTTGAGGTTGGTCCATAAATACAACATTTCAAAGAAGACAAAACAACACGTGTTTTGCAAATGTTAAAACGGTAATGAAAAAAAAAAAAGAAATAAAATAGAATTTTAAAAAAAATGATACTCTTGCTTAAATGAATTAAATAAGTTATAAAAGATCTTACTTAAATATCCATCTGCACATTTATCAGCCAACAAGAAATGGTATTAACTCAGGGATTGAAAGAAGTTGCGAGATTAGTTTTAATGAAATTCTAAGAAATAATGTTCTAATTTTTTGTAGATTCAACACGCCTTCATTTTTTTTTTTTTTTTTGGTTGTTTTTCACATTTAAAAAAAAAATATCTTTTAAAAATATTTTTAGCTAAATCAATTTATAATCTAAATGCTAAATTTTGAATGTGATTTTGCAGATGAACTTTGCAGAGGTTTCAAATTCATTTTTTTTTTTTTTTGGTTGTTTTTCACATTTAAAAAAAAAATATCTTTTAAAAATATTTTTAGCTAAATCAATTTATAAGCTAAATGCTAAATTTTGAATGTGATTTTGCAGATGAACTTTGCAGCGGTTTCAAAGTTTAAAATGGAGGACAGCTCACAATTAGAGCGCCGTCGTCTAACGTTAGCCCTCGGCGTGTTATGGACCTTCGGACTGGCGTCGTCCCATTTCCAGGGGCGAAGCTTCATCGTGGCGTTCCCGGGTAAAACCGCTCTGGACCAGTCCTACCAGCAGCACATCTCCCTGGCCAGCGCGGTTAATGTCTCCACTTCCATCAACGTGACCGTCACCAAAAACGCCACGGTGGTCTACCACGCGCAGGTCCGCCTGCATCCGTCCCAAGGATGCCTCGCCGACTGCTTTAACGCCTCGATGACGGCGAACTTGTCCAGAATTCAAAGCCCCGTGGTCAGCGTCACGTCGACCAGCGACGTCGTGGTCCTGGCGTTCTCCACCTCGGGCGCCTCCTATGCCGACTACTTCCTGGTGATGCCGGTATCTGAGCTGTCCACCAGCTACCTCGTCGTGGCCGAATGCCCGACGTCCGTGACCTGCGTCGTGATTGTCGCCACGGGAACAGACTCTGCCGTCGTGGAAGTGACATTTGTGTTGGACGCTAAAACGACAGCGGTGGTCAACTACAACAACACCCTGTATTACAACGGAAATGTGCTGAGGAGGACTTTGATACCTTGGGCTACAATGGAAATTCAGGCGCTGGAAGTAAATTTGAGCGGAAGCATCGTCGTGAGCTCGAGTCCGGTGGCCGTATTTTCGGGGGCCGAAACTATTTCTGGCAACGTGGTCAAGCAGTACAACGTGGAAGAGCTGGTGCCTGTCGGTCTTTTCGATTCCGAGTACGTCGTAATCGACTGCCCGGTGGCTGGGGCGACGACCTACGTGAGGGTGATCTACGCATACTCGAATACCACCGTAACAATCGATCCCAGCATCTTGACGTTAAAAACGTCCCGGAGTCGGATACAGATCTACACGTTAAAGCAGCATGGTAGCTCCATTATACGATCTGACATGCCGGCAATGGTCCAGATAATTTACGGCGATGGGGATAATCTCATCCTACAACCGGTCAGCAAATGGGCGCGGTCTTACGTAACTGTCCTGTATAATCCCTGTAATGTACTCTTGATCACCAGGTCCACCTGCACCGGCGATTTCCTGTTTAACGGCAATGTGGTGTCTGGATTTTCTTGGAATTCCGTCGGCGAAGGGACTTACAGATTTGCCGACAAACCCATCAAAGATTACGGAAGTTGGCTGAATATCACGTTGGTCAACTGTACGTTCGCTGGAATAGTCTACTCTACGTCTGCCAAGTCGTATGTTATGTGGTCGTTAGGGTGGGGACCGGAGCACCCTCTGACCGTTAATCAAAATGTATCAGATGTCAACATGGCGTCTTTGACCACGGAGACGTCCGGGAATATAACGACGGCGAGAACAGAAATGTTGGACACTAACGAGACACTTGCAACATCAGGGGAACTTAACAGTACAGATACAGTTACAACAGCAGGGGAACCTAATACTACAGAGACACTTACAACAACAGGGGAATCTAATACTACACAGTCACTTACAACAATAGGGGAACCTAACACTACAGAGACACTTACAACAAGGGGACCTAACACTACAGAGACACTTACAACAACAGTGGAACCTAACACTACAGAGACACTTACAACAACAGGGGAACCTAACACTATAGAAGTAACCACAGCTTCACCATTAACAACAGAGACCACAACTTCACCATTAACAACAGAGACCACTACTTCACCATTAACAACAGAGACCACTACTTCACCATTAACAACAGAGAACACAACTTCACCATTAACATCAGAGACCACACCTTCACCATTAACAACAGAGACCACAACTTCACCATTAACAACAGAGACCACAACTTCACCATTAACAACAGAGACCATAACTTCACCATTAACAACAACCACTTCACCATTAATAACAACAGCTTCACCATTAGCATTATCATTATCAGAAGAAGTTTATCAAATTACCGACTCTTCGTCCGACGCTGCTATGTCAAGTACACCGAAGACATCATCTGATTCATCAATAACTTCTGAATCATCAAATTCATCATCTGATTCATCAATAACTTCTGAATCATCAGATTCATTATGGTCTGCTCGGTCTGATTCTGATTTATGGACGATATCTAATGAAATCTCCACTACTGCAGAGGTATCTCTAGCACCAAGTACTTCCGAAACAAGTGCAGAAGAATTTCTGACGACCAAACTGGAACACGTTAGCGATGTGTCAACTTCATCAGCATCGTTTGCAGGGAAATCACAAAGCTCGGGTACGTCAGCTTTAACGTGGGAAACTACTAACCAATCATCATATTTGTCTGTTTTAATGCGTAAGTCCACCGCCCCATCACAGACAACTTCTGTATCCAGCGACTCAAAAAGTCAAACTACTACTGCCCCATCACTGACAACTTCTGCATCCAACGACTTAAGAAGTCCAACAACCACTGCCCCATCACAGACAACTTCTGTATCCAGCGACACAAAAAGTCAAACTACTACTGCCCCATCACTGACAACTTCTGCATCCAACGACTTAAGAAGTCCAACAACCACTGCCCCATCACAGACAACTTCTGTATCCAGCGACTCAAAAAGTCAAACTACTACTGCCCCATCACTGACAACTTCTGCATCCAATGACTTAAGAAGTCCAACAACCACTGCCCCATCGCAGACAACTTCTGTATCCAGCGACTCAAAAAGTCAAACTACTACTGCCCCATCACTGACAACTTCTGCATCCAACGACTTAAGAAGTCCAACAACCACTGCCCCATCACAGACAACTTCTGTATCCAGCGACTCAAGAAGTCAAAATACCGCTGCCCCATCACTGACAACTTCTGCATCCAACGACTCAAGAAGTCAAAATACCGCTGCCCCATCACAGACAACTTCTGTATCCAGCGACTCAGAAAGTCAAAGTACCCCTGCCCCCTCCAAGATAGATTTTGTATCGAACGACCCAAAAAGTCAAAGTACCACTGCCCCATCAAAGACAACAAGTCCAACTACAGCTGCCCAATCAAGTTCATCAAGCCGACCTCGAATCAGCTCAAATTCGACAGCTCAGTCGCCAACCATGACCGAAACGTGGGTCAACCCAGGGCCAGACCAACCCATTCAACCAAACAGTTTTCAAAACACGACCACCCCAACGACAGCACCCGAGACGGTTTCAACAACCACACACACGATTGCCGCTGCGAGTCCCACCAATGCTCTGTGCTCATGCACATGCCAGTTTGCGCAGAAGATGACGTCATTTCCTGGGAGTTTGGCGCGACATGGGGAGTTAACAGACGGAATCAACAGTGATCTTTTGCTGGAGAAAGAAGAGTTGTCGGCTCAGAAAACGTTAAAAATAACTGTGGAGAACGGGTTGATCTCGGAGCAGGTGGCAGGCTGGACGATCTTTATGGCCGTCCTGATGGTTGCAGTGGGTTGTCTGACCTGTTCTGACGTCGTGGGGCTGTTCAGATATTTAATAAGATCGGTGAACAGTCGAAAGGGTGAAGTCATGGATGATATTTCAGCCAGTTAGGTTAGTTTGGTCGATTTGTGTAACTAGATGAAGAATAAATATTTAGATCATTGAAAGATGTTTCCAACAGTGAATGCCTGACCTCTTGACATCTGACCTCTTGACATGGTGTTAAAAAAAACAAAAAAAAACTAATGAGGCCATTCATAACCGACGTCCCGTTATTTTTTGGCCCCGTTCTGCTTCTCCTAACCCACTGGCCACAAATGAATCACAAATTTATCACAATACTATCACAAATTTATCATTAATTTATGACAAATGTGTCACAAGTGTATCACAATTTCATAACAAATTTATCTTTAGTGTGTCACAAATTTATCACAAAAATATCACAAATGTGTCACAAATTTATTACAAAGTATCACAAATTTATCAGAAATATATCACACATTTATCACAAATGTAGGTGTTTTGACATCATTGATGGGCGGCCCCTAAGACCAACTATTAAAGTTATACAATGACCAGTTTAAATAAAAATTCAAAGTTCGGTATCACAGTATTATCAACAGTCGATTACAAAATTGTTAAGTGATTATTTTTCCTTGACACATCCATGTGTTATGCAAATGTATCGAATATGGGTATAGACCAAGTCGTGGCTGGTGCGCATTGGTCCGCGGACGTCCCTGGCCAATAGCCAATAGGTGGGGGATTTCGGGGAGGGGGGTTGAGAGGTCAAACCCGAAAACCTGTGTTAGTAGTCTAATTTTATGGTGACACCCCGTGATCAGACTCGTCTAGGATATGCTTTATAATTTTATAACAGGCTGGGCTCTACCTGAAGAGAGAATAAATCACAAGAGGCCCAATCAGTCCACCCCCCCCAACACTTTCTTTTACCCTCCACTCCCCCGTACGTCACTTTTTTCACACCCCAAGCCCTAAACTATAAATTTATTAATATGCGAATGCCGTACCCTCTTTTAAACCTCTGAGTTATTGCAACCTATTTAAATTGAGACTATTTCCATAAAAACAAACTACGCACCAAACACACTTGCGGTAGTTTGTAAACAATTTGATGTGCGCAGATATCGGGAATTTTATTTTCTCTCCTCTCCGATTGAGATCCTCATTTCTCCGCGCTTTCTTTCAAATGTAATTATCAAAAGAGTAAAAAAATCTTTCAGCCTTTCAGGGGTGCATTTTGCGTCATATCCGGAAATTAGTATGCAACTAATTTTTTTTTCGAAATCAGTGATACGAAGTAAGTTTTAAAAAAAAAAGAAATAGTAGAAAAGAAAAGAAACAACATGCCAATAAATTTTATTTCAAAAAGTTTACATTATCCCACCACTCCTTTACCGCAGCTTTGTTGAACACATTTTTTTTTTTCCGAACAGACTTCCATTCTAACTAACTTGCTTTCCATCAACAATCCTTGGTAGAAAATTGTTTGAAACAAACTGATTTCGGAATAATTTCCAGCAATCATATTGCACTGCTATTGATAGTTACAAAATGTCAGGGGAAACAAGGCAGAAAAAAAAAATATTAAAAATATATATTTAAAAAAAACAACAACATAATTTTAACAAACTTTAAAAAAAATTAAAATGTTATATACATATAAATTTGTGGCCGAGCGTTGTAAATCGGTTCAACCTCAAGCCTTGTGGACTGGAGTTCAATCCCCACAAGGAAAAACTAACGCCATCGCCACGGGTGGACAGGACTCGTTAATCCTGTAATCGAATCCGGAGATGGGCCACCATCTGACAGTGAAAATTCCGACAGCTCCTGTGACGTGAGACGCTTAAAGAGCCCAGTGAAACTGAGAAGAAGAAAAAAAAAAAAAAAAAAACAAAGCACGACCTGAGACGCTTAAAGAGCCCAGTGAAACTGAGAAGAAGAAAAAAAAAAAAAAAAACAAAGCACGACCGGTCATCTACTGCATCTTGGTCTATTTCAAGTCGTCTTGACCAAGTCTGGCCATCGGAATAAACAGGGTGGGACGAGAGAGTGAAACAACAGCACGGCCGGTCATCTACTGCATCTTGGTCTATTTCAAGTCGTCTTGACCAAGTCTGGCCATCAGAATAAACAGGGTGGGACGAGAAAGTGAAACAACAGCACGGCCGGTCATCTACTGCATCTTGGTCTATTTCAAGTCGTCTTGACCAAGTCTGGCCATGGGAATAAATAGGGAAGGACGAGAGAGTGAGGCTGAACAATGGAGCAACTCTCCGGAATACAGCTCAAGTCGAGGCTACCGCTCAAGCCTTGGTCATCTGCGCGTGTGAAGGACAACCAATAATTTATAAACAATGAAGAGACAATGTCAAAGTGATGTAATTGAATTAGCTGTTGACATCTACTGAATGAAACATATTATTTGTGTAGCTGTCCCGTGTTTACACTTAAAGTGTAGTATAGCAACAGGGTACAGGCCCGATCACTTACAGTGTAGTAGCAACAGGACACAGGCCCGATCACTTACAGTGTAGTAGCAACAGGACACAGGCCCGATCACTTGCAGTGTAGTAGAAACAGGACACAGGCCCGATCACTTACAGTGTAGTAGCAACAGGACACAGGCCCGATCACGTACAGTGTAGTAGCAACAGGACACAGGCCCGATCACTTACAGTGTAGTAGCAACAGGACACAGGCCCGATCACTTACAGTGTAGTAGCAACAGGACACAGGCCCGATCACTTACCGTGTAGTAGCAACAGGACACAGGGCCGATCACTTACAGTGTAGTAGCAACAGGACACAGGCCCGATCACTTACAGTGTAGTAGCAACAGGACACAGGCCCGATCACTTACAGTGCAGTAGCAACAGGACACAGGCCCGATCACTTACAGTGTAGTAGCAACAGGACACAGGCCCGATCACTTACAGTGTAGTAGCAACAGGACACAGGCCCGATCACTTACAGTGTAGTAGCAACAGGACACAGGCCCGATCACTTACAGTGTAGTAGCAACAGGACACAGGCCCGATCACTTACAGTGTAGTAGCAACAGGACACAGGCCCGATCACTTACAGTGTAGTAGCAACAGGACACAGGCCCGATCACTTACAGTGTAGTAGCAACAGGACACAGGCCCGATCACTTACAGTGTAGTAGCAACAGGACACAGGCCCGATCACTTACAGTGTAGTAGCAACAGGACACAGGCCCGATCACTTACAGTGTAGTAGCAACAGGACACAGGCCCGATCACTTACAGTGTAGTAGCAACAGGACACAGGCCCGATCACTTACAGTGTAGTAGCAACAGGACACAGGCCCGATCACTTACAGTGTAGTAGCAACAGGACACAGGCCCGATCACTTACAGTGTAGTAGCAACAGGACACAGGCCCGATCACTTACAGTGTAGTAGCAACAGGACACAGGCCCGATCACTTACAGTGTAGTAGCAACAGGACACAGGCCCGATCACTTATAATTTCAAATGAAATTTGTTATGAAAAAGCTTTTTAAAATCCCACATTGTAAAAAAAAAAACCAAAAAAAAAAAAAAAACACTGAAATATCTGAATGCCCTAGCGACCTTCCTGGCATTGGGTAACACACAAGTTGAGAACCACTGACGTAGACTGTACATAACTTCTCGTTAAAATATCGAGTGCCCCTGACTATGCCTCTGTGAAAGTTATTTAACTAATGAGGTGTTGTTTTCAGAAAACGAATTTATAAGAAATAGTAAAAGTTTAAATAACTGAACATATGAAGAACTTTAAAAAAAAAAAGTTTAGATTTTAATTTTTAACTTTACGTAATTCTCCCCGGCTCATTAATAAATAATGAACCCTACCATTACTTTTATTGAGAACCATTACTTTTCTTGCGAACAGAAAAAAAATGAAAGAGTTCAGAGCTTGAAGCGTGCTCTCCTTCAATACGTGGAATTCATAATGATTCAACGCTTTTATCTCCCAAAAGAATGTTAAGCCACTTTTGCTCTTTACAGAAGAGGGGGAAAAAAAATAAACATTCTTAAAATCTCATCTGGTCAGTCTCTTGACCATGCACCTCTCAGAGGTCATCTCTGGGTCAGACACCCAGGAATGACGACTAACACAGTCCATCCTTGTTGGCGCAAGCTTGAAATATTTGCTCAAGGAGTTAAAATGTTTATACAAATTCACATTTTAAAGCAATAAAATGACCAGTGGTCTAGCGTTATTTATGGGTTAAACTGTCGAGCATTCGCTATCAGTCCGCATGTCTATGTTTCCCCCATTTTGTGTTAATTTTTTCTGTTGAAAACCTATTCTCATTGAATCTATTATACCAGCTACCATTTTTGTAGTAGGTTGAGCTTAAGGTGTAACTGCTGGGGGGGGGGTGGAGATGGCTGACCTACCAACCAACTAAACATACGTGTCATGTGCCTGGACATTTACAAGTCACTGTACTTAAATGCAATGTGTCTGGACATTCACGAGCGAAATGAAAATTACACAAACAAGTTGATGCTCCCAGTGGCGTCACTAGGGGTGTGGGAAGCGACGACTGCCCCTTAGAAAACTTTTGGGGTTTGTAGCTAGCATTATAAATGATGTGCGTGTATTCTTTTTTATTTATTTATTTTTTTTTTGGTAGGGGGTGCATTGTGAGAAATTGGGGAGTTCACCCAAGGCGAAATTTAGCTAGAGTACGCCAACGCATGTTTCAAAAACTCTCCGTTTCCCCCCCCCCCCCCCCCAACAAACAGACCACACTAATACTCTGTTCCCAAGCAATGAAATGAATTAAGGCCAATTGACTGTTTATTTATTGCACGATCACGCAATAAGGACACAAGGTTTTCTTGGACAAGGTCTTATTGGACAAGCACCTCTTGGATAGTGGTATCCTAAACAAG